CGTGCGGGGAGATGAAGGGATTGAGAGCAGCCCTGCCGAGAAGGACTTGGGGGTACTGGTGGATGCAAACCTGGACATGAGCCAGCAATGTGCGCTCACAGCCCAGAAAGCCAACTGTACCCTGGGCTGCATCAAAAGAAGTGTGGCCAGCAGGTAGAGGGAGCTGACCTTAAAGATCTTCACTCTGGTGAGACCCCACCTGCAGTACTGCGTCCAGCTCTGGCTTCCTCAGCACAGGAAAGACATGGACCTGTTAGAGCAGGTCCAGAGGAGGGCCACAAAAATGATTAAAGGACTGGAACACCTCTCCTATGAGGAAAGGCGGGGAGAGTGGGGGTTATTCAGCCTGGAGAAGAGAAGGCTGAGGGGACACCTTATTGCAGCCTTTCAGTACTTAAAGGGGGCTTATAAGAAAGATGAGGACAAACTTTTTAGCAGGGTCTGTTGCAATAGGACAAAGGGTAATGGTTTTAAATGAAAAGAGGGTAGATTCAGACTAGATATAAGGAAGAAATTTTTTACAATGAGGGTGGTAAAACACTGGAACGGGTTGCCCAGAGAGGTGGTAGATGCCCCATCCTTGGAAACGTTCAAGGTCAGGCTAGACGGGGCTCTGAGCAACCTGATCTAGTTGAAGATGTCCCTGCTCATTGCAGGGAGGTTGGACTAGATGACCTTTAAAGGTCCCTTCCAACCTAAACTATTCTATGATTCTATGATTCATAGTTGCCCAGACTTTTCTACATAAAAGTTTCTCAAATGGCTGAAAGGTGTTGAGACATATAATGATATTTTACAGGCTGAGTTATTTATGCCTATCACGTACCTAAAGCTCTTCAAAGCAGGCACATACGTAAGGCATTTAATTTGGTTAACGCTCTCAGGGCATAACTACCAGATGGGTTTTATAAAAAATACCACAGCAGCCATTTTCCAGAGGAAGGTTTTACGGTTGTGTCTTTACTTATGCAATAGATCAGCAGTTAAATCCCTGATCCTAGACATGAGAGTGAGTTCCTCCTTCTCTTGAATCAATCAGAATGTTCCTCTCCTAGGAGAATGCCTTAAATACTAAACTGGGGGGTCTTATTGCTCTTAGTTTCCCCTCTCATTTCTCCTTACCTACTAGTTTTCCTCTTTTTCAAATTGCAACAACCAGAAAGCAGTGAGACTGTCCATTCCCAGATAGCTACAGAATGCTCCCAGAAGGTGTGGAGTACAGATTTGATGCAGAAGAACGTCACTAGCCACTCCTTCTTTAGCTCTGCTTTTAAGAAAAGAACTTGCACTGGCATGGTCTTTCAGATGAGGGTTTTAGAAACCTGACCTCAGAAGGATCTCCAAATCTGTAATTTTTGAGTAAATAAATGTGTGTCCTCTCATTCTAGAATGCCTAAATCGCAGAGAGAGGAAATTAGTATACATGGCTTTCTAGGAATATCCTCTTGGGTATCTTAGGCCACCCTCTACCCAGACTGCTGCTTTTTGTGAATACAAGGAACCCATGAATGCTACTGAGAGCTCAGACACCTTTGCACTCATTGCAAAGTCACTCATTGTAACAGCTGGTGTCCCAGGAACTAAATCTTTCTCAGTTAGGCTTAAGACAGTTTTGAAAACAGGACCTGGTATTCTAAGTCTGTTCTGTGGCTTTTTGAACATCTTATCCCATGTGCTTATTTAGGATGCTCAGAATATGAATAGCCATGAATTATGTATCAGAGAGCTGAAGAGAACTGTTATTGTAGCTGGTCCCTATATGCTCTGAAAGGGCAAGAGGCAAAGCATCTAACTCAAACAGGAGAATTTGCTCTGCACGCTGAAATAAACCTGGTGACAAGTCCTCCTCTGTAAACAATTTGCCAGCCTCTGTCATGCATCATATGCACTGAAGTCCCTAAACATAGGATGAATCAAGGATAAGCTGCAGCCTTCACTTTAATCTCTTCTTTTCCTACTTCATATGATAATTGCATTAGACTAATTTATGTCAAAATTATTTGTGCAAGAAGTTGAAGTAGTTTCAAACTAATTCACCTGGAAGAAGGTTTTAATACCAGATGCTGAAACAAAAACATTGAAGACAAGCATCTTATCTGCCACAAATTTATATCTAGTTACACACGCACAAACCAGAAATGCCTCCACAGAACAAGTGAGTGCAATAAATGGAAACTTACAGTTCAGAAAAGATTACACCGAGACACTTAATGAAGCTTTCTACATTCTTCAAGGTTTTCTGTATTTTTTAACCTGGAAAATATGCCTGGATTTCTATTTTCCAGTAAGGTCCCTCCCAAACTTATGGGAAAAAATATTTAAGAAGTCCCCAGAATGTGGGGAAAAAAAGGACATATTACAGTTTACAGGTAAAGAAAAGCTTGGATCATACACTTCAAAAAATGTGTACCAGTTTAAAATAACTTTTGATGAAAGGGTCACTTACTGCAAGAAGGGCACTGCTTAAAATTTAAGCAGTCAGTAATGGGAAGCGACAGACCTCTAACAATTTAAGTCTTTCACAGTTGAATGAATCTGCACTGACAGCCAGACAAGGATGTGCTAACCTACCTTACCAGGATCTTGGCTATGGCTGCATATGCTCTGCCTAGGCCAGCAGAATCACAAAGTGCTGTGAAGATTTTTACAGAGGTGTTCAAAAGCTGTGAAACAGGAAAATAAAACCCAATAAATACAATGCTAAGAATTTCTCTGTGTCCATATGAAACAGCAAATTAAACACAAAATTAAAGTTTTCCCACCTGTACATTTCTTCTTTAATTAGCTGTAATGGGACTAGGTTTTTGATCATTACTTATAGTTGTTTGAAACTACTCGATAATTACAAATTAAAAAGATACAACTTGCATTTAAATCCCTGTATTTCGGCACTTTACAAAAACCAAAGAGATATTACCTGATTTGCAAAATAAATTTCCTTATCCATAATTTAAAAGATTTTAAGAGGCCGTACTTTTATGAATTTCTGTTAACCAATACCTTAAGATGGTATCCTTTGCATTCAGTGTTTTAGAATGATATGCTGATATATAACTTAATATTATTTTTCTTTCTTTAAACTGCCAATATGACAACTTTTCTTAGTACAACTCAGATGCTCAAAAAGTGAATAAATTATAGGTTATAAATTTAAACTATGCTGCCTTAAAATACTGTAGATAATTTTGTTATTTTTGTGACTAATTATTCATGCACACAAGTAATTTGTTAACATTCATTTGGAATGTACTCTATTATCATGATCCCTCCCATAACTGAAGGCTTACAGCTGCTACATAAAAACATACAATCTTAATTTAATTTAACACTGACATCACCTATATTGCATAATTTCTCTTTTCATCCATTTTTTTTTCCAATGGTGACGACGGCAGAGTGCATATAAAATTAAATCCTATTCTTTCCTCCCCCCTCTTTGTTGCTTGACCCAACCTATTACACACATGAGAAAACAGGAAATCTCCAAAGACTATCTATGGAAATCCTTTTTGCACATTTCCAAGAAAGGAGTGGTGAATGTCATTTACCAGCTCTGAAGGGGGATGGGAGATGCCCAGGGACGTACGACAGTATCCTGCATGCCCCAAGATGCCTATTTATACTGAGGTAAAAGATAGGGCATTTTCTAGTAAGACTGCTTCCCCTGTCATTGGCAAAGTGCATGGTTCAAAAGAAGACAACTTGCGTGTGCTAATGCTATGGATGTCACCATTTCTATCACTGTTTCCGCTACTCAGATTTTCTAGTTCTTGAAGGAGTTTTACTATGTGCAGGAGTATCCCTGGACAAGGCTCTTATTTTTTAGTTATATAAGCTCTGTGTGCACCAAAAGTAGCATTTATTAACGTGCACTGCACGATTTATCGTCCCTCAAGTACTTCCTAACAGTTAAGTTCTCGTGTACATCAGCATTCCATCCTATACTTGAAGGTCATTGTCAATTGAGTTATCAATGCATAAGATATGACAAAAAGAGAGTGCAGGCATCTCGGTTAGGAACCTGTCACATCAGTTCAGAACTCGCCCTAAACTGAATGCATACGCAAAGTTGTCAAGGCATGCAGTGTGTCCTTCTAATAATCCAGCCTGGTAACAGAAATGCACACCAGTGTCCAAGAAACAGTTCTTGGTTTTGCATTTAACTCAGAGGACCTACAACATTTGTTGCAATAATTGTGCCCATATCAGAAAACCCGCCATGACAGTGTCAGAAGGTTTCAAAAATTTTATGTACTGGACTGAAAATTACTCCTACTTTAAACCGGCCTCTGCAATATGAAGCTAGGACACAGGGCCTCTAGAGGTTACTATTTGGCACAGAAAGGTTACTTAGGCACTTAAGGCTTAGGCTGCTGTACTTTTTTCCTATCAAAGATATCACAAAGTCTAAGAAGTACAGATAAAACCAAGGGAAAACCATTGCCAGAGTAGCTAAAGTAAAAAGTTGGTTCACTGCATCTCTGCAACAGCTGCTAGAAAGAAGTAAGTAGGGAAATAAATAAAGCCACTCCTTCATATTGATGAAAAGTGCTCATTTTGGTCCCAGGTTACTACTACTATACGCAAGTCAGATGTATAATTCTAAACAATGATGAAATAACGATAATTAAATCATCTACGTGTATTTCAAATAACTCCTCCAGCTTCAGATACTATGTAGGGACACAGAAAGGGACACACTCTTGATGGAAAGGAGCTGTGTAGTGCCCCTGTATGCTACAATTGCCCAGTATCCATTTATGTGGAGGACGTGAAGAGGGGCCTCCTCACCTATGGTGCACGCCTTACCTTCAACATACAGGAGAGAAAAAGAAGAGGAGGTAGGGCAGGATAAAATGCTGGATTAACACGTAAGCATTAGAGGATTTCACCCAAAGTCTCCTGCAATTACAGCACACTTTTCATTTTCATTTAAAGTGAAAAATTATAAAGCTTACATGCTGGCAAATCAAGCGGACTTGACACAGTGATGTCTGCCAGAATCACAGAACCGTAGAATGGGATGGAAGGGACCTTTAAAGGTCATCTAGTCCAACCCCCCTGCAATTGGCAGGGACAGAATCTGTAAGCAGCCTGAAAACAACACATGGACATGAAAACTTTCCTGTTTATTTTCATGGGGTATGAACAACCAGTCCATCTAACTGGGTTCTTATGAATACCATGTAAGAGAAGACATGCATGTGGAAGAGAGTACTGAGTGGGCATGGCTGGGCCAGTCATCTATTAGCTCTCTGACAAGTGGATAAATATTGGGAACACATATCATTTGGATCTAATGGAATTTATAGGCTCCCATGAAAGTTCTTCTACCTTTAGACAGAAGTATAGCCAGAAATGGGTCTTTTATACACATTTTGGCCAACCTGTGCAGAGGACAGTGACATCCAAAGAAGAGGTGGAACACGTCAATAATTAATGCTGAAAACTCAATACTGCTGCATTTGCGGTCTTAGAGAATACAGCTGTCATTACACAAACAAAAAGGACAGAAAAATTGTTTTCAATAACAGAACAAAAGTCGTCTTATTAAGGTAACATGCTTCTGCTTCAGTATTCTATGGCAAATATTGTGCATTAAAACGTCACCTTGGCAATTTTCTTCATGTTAAGGAAATGTAAATAAAAATATATAACATTGTGTAAAGAGATATTGAATGAGACTACATAAGCATCTATACTGGTAATGTACATTAAAAAGAGTGTGTTTGGGTATTACACAAATCTGGCTGAATTTCCTTCTCAAAACTGAAACTTTTCAGAGATTTAAAGTTACTAAAGGGACAAAATGTCTTGGTTTTTTTGTTGTTGTGTGGTTTTGCTTTGTTTTTAAATTTGCTATGTACAAAGAGTTCCGAGGAAGGAAGCTGTTGCTATAGATTTATCCTGGTCATGCTAGGCTCCATTATAAAATTTCCATACTGTATCAAAGAGAGTTTGATAGTCCCAGCAACTAGTAGGAAAAGATCATTGTATAGGCAGTTGAACAAATTAAAATAACATACAGCTCTTTCTACCTCTAAAAAGAAAAGCGTAAGGTAAGTTTAACAACATATAAATCATAAAAACTGCACTGATTCTGGTCACAAATTAGTTTTTGGCTCTAGGTAACCAAGCACACTGACTGTCTCAGACTTCCTACTACTGTGGGTCCGCAGTGGAAATACTGGTTAAAAAAACAAATAAAATAAAAATCAAAGTCTAATACAGAAGTGAACAGCGGGTTTCAATCACTTGTTCTCATTCATGCAGGATGTGGGAAGGTGGCAGGGTGAAGACTTCAACTTTGTCTTCCACATTACAGACACGTCCCACATGCCATCCACTATTATTTTGGTGTATTCAGGGAAAAAAAAAAAGAAGTAGCTTTTATGGCTCCAAAATAGAAATAAAAAAAATCAGGAAGCATTGTACAATTTCCCTTGTTTTCTTGCTTAGCGCTAAAAGCTGGATGCAGGTGCACCTGGGAGGACGACAGCTACTATGGGAGCATCTATTTACAAAATCAAGTCCCTTCCCGGGATCTTTGTAAGTCTATTGTGGCTACAATTAGTTACAGTGTAAAAATAAAGTAGCAAGCTCTACTTAAATTTTCAAACTACAGCCTATTTGTGGTATAGCTCTTGCACTAATTCTCTAGACAGTGGTGAATTTCATGTTTACCTCCTTTGCCAAGAAAAATATTAGATCTCAGGCCCAGATTTGCTACTCAGTTATCTCAGCGTTATGGCAGTGTGACCCTCCTGGGGTTACTCCATTAATATAAAACAGATACGGCCAGCTCCTCCCCCAAGATTCCCCCTCCCCAAAATCCCACCCTTCATTTTTTATTGTTGTCACACCTGTACTTCTTTTATATGTACATAAAAACACGTACACACCTCATTGGCATACACTGAGGACTCCGATAAAAGGACATCGGCTCTGCTAAACATTTGATACATCTAGGGATAATGGACAAAAGAGTAAAAATCGAAGGTATGAATTTATGCTGGAAAAGAATGTCTATTCAACTCAACGCAAGATTAATGCTACTACCAGTATTTCAGTATTTTAGTAAAATACATTACTCTGACAAAAACATGACGGGATAATATTGATTTATAATACTGTAACTTTAAAACCCACAAAACCATAGTTCTGCTCTCAGCTTTGCACTTGATATTGTTGTCAAACTTTATTGGAAATACATTTATTTTGATTTCTGAAAATCTAGCTGTGTTTAGCCATTTCACAGCTGGTGAGCAGTAAAGATGCTTCTGCCTCATTTACAGATCTTGAACATGAATCAGACCATCAGCTGGAACATTAGTCAAAGAGATCACCAGCTAATGATTTCTGACAGGCGCTGCAGTAACAGGCGAAGGCCCAGCCTGGCTAGCAGCATCTGACAATATTTTTCTGGAGCCAGCAATAGGCGTTGGTAGACAGACAATGCAATCGAGTGAGACTACTGGCCTCATACCACTTAGTGCCTCTTAAATACTTTCAGAAAAAAACCCACATAGCTCTGACAGTCACTAAATAATCACTTCCACACAGTCCAGTGAAAATAAAAGACAATAGAACTGTATGCATAGGCATTTTGCAGTTATGTGAACTC